ATTTTCAATATGATTATCATTTTAAATAATGATTTATATTAATGTTGTCATAGGTTTATCTATTCTTCTTGATGCATTTATAAATCTATGTTGTAAAAATGTTTCATTTAATAATAAATAAAATGAAAATAAAATTTTTTTTTCATTATTTCTTGTTAATATAGTTGTTGTTAAACAATTTATTGTTGAATAATCATATAAACCTAATAAACGTAGTTGATGTTTTGTTGAAAGTAATCTTATTGATATAGTTTCAATAGGAAATAAATTTTGTTGTATTATTGTTTGATTTGATAATGATCAATATGTTTATTGAACTAGAAGTCGAAAATATTTTGATTTATATGTTAATAAATGATATGAAGATAATTGTATAAGACCTTGATAATGTATTAGTGATTCAAAATAATCAATATGGACCATAAACTATATCATTATTCGACAAAATTTATTTGAGAATTTAATTGATTAAATTCAATTTTTTGATCAACATCATTTTGTTCATTTGAATAACGATATAAAGTAACAAATTAATTTTTTTTTTATAAATCTTGTCGATTTAATCTATAACGAAAATTCAATTCTATGTAATATATATCTATTGAAGGTATTATGTGTTGATGTATTTGAGGTTGTTGTAAAGGCCTCTATAACGATCAATATTTATTTTTGTTGTATAAAGTATATAAAACCAATATGATGAATTTACATGAGCAAAAAAAATGTGTACGGGTGATAAATCAAATGATGTAAATGATAGAAGTCAACGAAGAGTTTATATTGAATAAGAATTCGAATTTTGATCATCAATCGAAGATTTTAATTGAGTAGGATTTATAGAAGATGTGCTTAGTTTTTCATCAGATGGGATATGAGGAAAATAACAAGGAAATAGATCACTAATATTGAACTAAACAAAGACAAAAAAGCAACAGTTAACATTTTTAATTTAATTATTTATTTTTATTCTCGAATAGAAGTTAACTTATTTAATAATTTTTCGTGTAGTATTATATGTATCTATAGCGTATCGGATTATTCTTATTTTTGAATCTATAGATTTTCGATGGTTTAGAATATTCTGTAAACGAGTACGGATTGTCAGCTTATTGATACATAGATTCTACAAATTTACGATAGTTTTTACATGGATACTGTAGTTTCCCTCTGGAACATCAGGAGAGCTAATTTTCGAAATTCGGCTTGCAACTTTGTTGAGAGAGAGAGTCGGATTCTCGATTAGGGAGCTTTTTCTGCTTCCTCCAAAATATCCTAGACTTCTTCTAGAGTTCTCAATGGTTTCTGCCAATTTTTTTACAATTTTATGGGAACTTTGAAGAGAAACTAGATCTTGAGACAACATTTGCCTTTCTCTTGGAGAAAGTCGAACAAAGATAAGCAGACAATATCGTTACAAAGTAAACAGGATTGAGACAGATCCCAGGAAAGGGACGACTTGATAACAGATTGTCTGTTGTGGGAGGAGTCGGGTCATCATGGGTTTTCGTTCTTGCTTTCACAGTCACCGGTTCTAGTACTTCAAGCATGAAAGTACTTTCCGAGAAAAATTTTCAAACTTTTTGAAGAATCGTTAGCCGAGACTCTACTCCTAAATAATACTAACAAGGTTGAGAGAGACGTTAACAAGACTAGTTTTCATTGGTAAAATTTCAGTTTATTTTTATTTGATTCTATCCTGAAGTAAGAAGATCGAATCTATAGTTATAGATGAGCGATCTAAAAGACACACTTTTACCATAGTTATATCTTAAGACAAGAACAACAACAAAACAAAAGCATTGACAAGAAATTATTCACGTTGAGAACTGTCACTGTGGAAAGTTTTAAGTCGAAATTGGAAAATGAGTTTTCCTGAAGGAGATCACGGCAATCATTTAAAAACTACTCTAAAAGTAGGATATGTTCTTGATGAAAAATTCAGAAGCTAAATTGTTTTCAGGATAAACATAGCTCATTTGCTTCTATATAATGCACGTTGTCTCAACTGAAAAGCGAATTAGAGTTGACTGATTTTCCTAGGAAGTAGAAAAGAATGAAGCGATGATCTCGATGAATCTGACAACTAGAGATCTGCGTGAAACTTTCTGGGCACCAATTGTAGAATTGAATATTTGCTGAGAAAAGGAAGATTCAGTTAATAAATTTTCAAAAGAAATTTTTTCTCTAGAAATAAAGATGTTATTCGTATCGAAGTAACAGTCTGATAATAACATAACTAGAATTGATCATGATTGAAAAGTTTGTATTCGTTTACTCGGATTAGAAAAATGGCAGATGAGTTGTCATTGACGTGTTGGTTTAAATGAAAAAGATTTTTCTAGGTAATGTAGTAATTGAATGTTCTTTTATATTGTCTTTTCCTAATAATATCTCTGATTCTTCCACCCAAGGAAATAGTCCCATGTAGATATCTAAACTTTATCTATAATAAAATCGATACTAACTTACTTATTCATATAAATAAAAGCAACAGATTAGAATTAAATTATTCAATAAATAAATTTCTATAAACCTTTTTAACAGCATCATCACCTATCCAAGCATAAATTGTATCTCTACCGTCTAAGATGAAGACATTTTTCAACATTTCGAATAAATTGTCTATCTGGGAGAATATTAATATAATTATTTTCTTGATTATTATCTAAAGATGTTTTACGATAAATATGATAAAGTATTAAATGTTCAGATTTAAAACAAATTAAAAAAAGATATTCATTTTAATATTTTATTTGAAGATTGTTCTTTCTTTTTATATTGATGATTAAGATGATTATTATGATGAGATTCAATTTCTAAATTTTCATTCTTATTACTTATTAGTTATTATTGATTGTTGGTCACTATTTATTAAATCATCATCATTATCTAATATAATTTGTTAATGATTAATATAACGAATGACAAAAAAAAGTATTTTTAATGTTAATGTTATTTGATAATATTCAATATAATAACAATGTATATTTATAAATAAAATAATTTTGTTTTAGTTAATTTATATAAAAAAGATTGTTTATATATATGTTTTAAATTTGAAAATTTAATTAAATAATCATATTTATTATTTATTTTAATTTGTTCATTTATTACTGTTGTTTCAATTAATTGATAATTTTATCTATTATTTTTTATTATTGATCTACATGATGGATTTTTATTTTTCATATTGATTTATTGTTGTTGTTATTAATATAGATTTATTTGTTTAATTTAATTGTAAAAAATAATAAAATTTTCATTATCATTTGTTATTGTTAATGTAAGCGGATTAAATTTTAAATAAAAATAATGTTTTCATGTTAAAGGATGAAAATGTTCTATAAATATAAATATAATATATCTAAAGAATAATTATCTTCGTAATAATCTTCTATTCTTAATTGTTGAATAAGATTTTATAATGATATCTATAATATTTGTTCTATAAACTGAATGTATTATCCAATAAGAATTTATAAATAATAAAATATGTTAATTTAATATTAATTCATTAGATTTAATTAATAATTTTTCTTGTTGTTGATTTGAGAATATTTTCTTTCCAGGTTGAATTGAACATGTTCTATGTAAGGGAAGATTTTCAGTTTTATCACCTTTTATAAATGGAGAATGAGGAGAATAACTTTCATGTTCTCTTCAACGAGAGTCAGATGGTTCCCAACAAACAAGTGTTAGAGTAGAAGGAAAACATAATGCATGATCATCATTATCTTGTAATGGTGAATTATAAAAATCAAGTTTATCTATACTTTCCTATTTTGAAATAGAAACAAAAACTTGATTGATTTAAAATTAAATAATAATAAAGAAAATAATTTATGTTCAATAGTATGAATTAATATGGGTTTTTCTCTTTCAGATTTCTCGAATGAATACAGAAAAACTTCCAAAGACATTTATAATTATCGAAGTATGGTCAACTTTGGCTCAAACTTAGATGACAATTAGATATAAATAGACATATAACGTGCTTGAATAGCTCAGATTTAATCTCAGTTTTTCCTCGAAAAATAATCGTTATGTGTTACTTTTACTAAAATTTCTTTTATCACTGTTTCGGTATCTAGGTGGTGACAGACCGAGCCCAAAGAGTTCTACGTCGATATAAACTTCTGTTTTTTACTTCTTTTTTTGTAAAATTGAAAATATTTGTTGGTAATAAATTTTTTTCTAATATTGTATATTAAGCAATGAGTTTTGTTGAATTTGAATGAAACTAATATAAATACGAATGTGAAAATTTTTCTTGAGATTGATAGTAACAATCTCACAGTTTTATTTTATTTGAGAATAGAAAGAAATAATAAAGATTGATCGTTTGTGGATATGTTTACATGGATTAGTAGTTTAAATAAATTGATCGATTGAGAATAACGATCGTATGCATAAACATTTCCAAATCTAGTCGTGGACAGGATTGAAACTGAAAGACTATTGTTAGTCATATAAAAACATCTATCTCAAACTTTATATTAACATTTCTATTCCTAAGCTTTAAAACTGGATACCAAAATAGTCTTGACTTAAAACAAGACTGATGCCCTTCATGATTCAACCGTGACTCGAAAATCTCAGTAAATTTATTAATATACGATTCGATTCTTAGAAAACTATTTGTTATTGATCGATAAATAGGAAATCGTGTTTATTACCGACATAAGAAAGGTGACTTCGACAATGTTTACATCTTCTTTCAATTACTAAAAATTCAAATAAACTCTATTTGGAAGCATAATTTTATGCGTGCAATAATTAATAGATTCGTAATAGAAGTTCGTAAACAATATTATAATTTCAAAATTAAATATTGACTTCTCTTACCTATGTAATATTGTCGAAAATTTTCCTTGATTCTTATAGAAAATCTCAAATAAAATTTAACATATTGGTGAAATCCATCGATAAATTGCATATGGTCAATGTGTAAATGTTCTATATCGTGTTGCTTCACTAAACATAAAATGTTCACGTGTAGTTCATCGCCTTGTATTCAAAAAGCTACTCGTCGATGTTGATGTTGATGATGACGATGTTTCTAATGTTGAACCCATTTGTTCATCTCTATTTGTTGTTAATGATTTTTTATGATGATAATATCTTGTTAAATAATCAAGTAAAAGACCAACAACAACAATACCAGGTACTGATGAATGTGTTTTTTGAATTTTTTGTATTTGTTGTTTATATAAACATAATATATGAAAACAAATTTTAATTCCATTAAGACAATCATATGATAATTCTATTAAATTCCATAATGATGATGATATATGTTCATCAAATTTCTTTTTTAATAAATCATCAAATTCTTCAATATGATTTCATGTTGATAAATCTAATGTCGATAATAATTGTGCATCACCATATGTTAATTCAATAAAAACATGACAATTTTCATCAATTATTCAATCAAGAAAATAAAGACCTTGATAGAATTCTCTTACATAAAATATGTGTTGATCTTAACAAAATAAATTTATCATGACATAGTATTATTTCATAATATTCATTTATATTATTTAATGGTAATGTGCGATGATATAATATTGATAATTGATAACCACTACGAACATTGATTTCTTGTTTATCATTAAGATAAATTAATCAATTTAATGATGGATTATTAACTATTGAACGTAGATGTTTATCAATTATTGTTGTTAATCATAAATTTTCATCTGTTTTAGAATTTGTCGCCATAGAATACAATAGATAAAAAGGATAGTTTTAATTAAACTAAACATAAATCTACAAATAAATAGAATGAACTAGAGGCTCCTGTCAAGCAAGGAAGAAAAGCGAGACTCATCGAGTCCGTACTCCTACTGTACTTCCACCGTACTCCGAGAGTACGGGAGCCTCGCCTTTCCCCCCCTGGTTGAACTTTAATATTGTAGGAAAAATTGATTTAATTTACATAAGAAAAAAGTTTCTCAATGTAAAATATAATATAGATACGACATATATATATGTAGCGTGTATGTGTAGCTTATCTTAACCATGAAACAGGTATTCTCTGCACTTTCATTGGTGATTTAATCGCTTAGTGTGGACGACTGTTGTCTTGAAACGAAATTAATTTAAAATCACTTCTCTAATGTGAACATAGCCTAAGAATGGAAAGAAAATTTGTTAATCTATTCAAAGATAAATTGATCAATCAATAGTTTTATAAACTAGAGGCTAGTCTTTTACATTTCTGTTCAGAAATAATTATGTTGTTTTATTTTATAGGTGTTTGATAAAATGATTCATATGAAATTGAATTAAGTGATTTTAATGTCATCGATGTGTACACTTATTTCGAATCAAGAAACGACAATCGTGCCTATTCTATTCAGAAAGTTAATGTTCACATCTACACTTGTCTTTTTTTCATTTTTTTATAACTAAATAAGGCTCGACTTGCAGCTGATCCAAATGAACTAAATTGATAACAAAACCTTTTCGGAACAATTGAAATATATAATCGAATTAAATCAATTAAGAACACAGTTGATCGAAATAGATTGTTTGCATGCAAAAATTGTGTTAGTAGTGATAATTGGTCAGGTCTCAATTGTCCAAAGATATGAAACTTCGAATAAAATCAATATGACAGTCAAAATTTTCTTAATAGTCAATGTTTTTGACCTATTTTTTAAATTATCTTTGCGAGAAAAAAAATTAAACATTTAAATAAGTCAACAGTTCAAATAGTATAGATTACAATATATTATCATATTTGACAGAAGCAAAATATTCCTTTTTATTGATCTGAATTGTTTTGTGAGTTATAAGACCGATTTGTTGGGAAGAACTAATAATTTGATTACAGTATCCATACCACATCCAAATAAATTAGTTGCAACAAGAATAGGTATTTGAATTCTATATAACGTGCTAAACTAAGAAATAGAATTATTCGCTTAAGTAAAGAACGAACAAATTCATCATTGTCTAGTGAAAGGGTATATATTATGTAGTTATAAACTATCGCCATCTGATTTGACGAAAAGGAAATAAGATATAGAAGAAAGATAGAAAGAAAGTAGTGACCAATACGCGAAAGTTATCATTATTTAATCTGTCTATACATGTTGTAATCGTCAGACAGTTGTTGTTTTTAATGTATTTTGATCAAAATAACTTTATTTAAATTTATTGATTTTCTTTGTAGATGAGTGATAATAATTCATCATCATCAATGTACTTTCGTCCTCAGGTATGTTTGAAATAGACTATATATTAGAGTAATAAGTTAAGAGAAGTTAGCAGCAGATTCGAGTTTTTTCAAAAACTGTTCACCCCATTGATTGAGCCAAGTCAGCTATGCAGTAAACCCAAGGGGGAAAAAGCAGATTTCAAGATTCCCAAAGATTTCCAAAGATTTCTAAAGATTGCCAAAGATTTCTAAAGATTTTCAAAGATTTCTAAAGACTCCAATTAAAGAAAATCTGCGTGCTCTAATAGATCTCTGCTTGAGAACTTGTCCAGTCTCATTTTATACGTGCTCCTATATGACTTAATCCTTCCACTGCAGAGAGAGGCTTATAAGATAGAATGAATTTGTGACTATGTTTTCATGTTTCCATTCAACTATCTAGTCACATACTTGCATATATTGGTATAATATTAACATTTCAATGAAGACAGTCGAAGGGGACAGGGCTATATCGGTAAAC